AGCTATCCTAATATCTAGAGAAAAAGGATGTTTCAAAAGAGAAGAAGTCTTGTGGCAATGCCTCAGTGGTCCAGGTAACTACCAGAACTCGGAAATCTGCGACGGAGACTAAGGCAGCAGAGATCTGGAGTGGAGTGCTGAGTTCTGGCAAGCAGCTGTATCTTTCTTCCAGTGAGTACCTGAACAGGGCTGATGTGAATTATGTAAAGTCCAGATTTTAAGAATCATACTCTCTTCAGGGATCTCCCCAGACTAGTGGGTGTCCTCCCTCACTGCCCTTGTGGGACAGTCTCTGTGTGGGAGAGGCCTCGCATGACTTTGTCTCTGGTGTTCCTCTGGGGACTTCTGTGTGAGAGACTGTATGCTCCAGAGCCAGCTCTTGTGTCCTTTGGCCGGTGCCGGAATGTGAAATAGTCCAACATGGGAAACAAGGGATCATCCCAATCAGGAATCATGACATTTTTTTTTTTTTTGGATGATGGTTATGTTCTGTTTTGAAATAACCTCTGTGTATTTCATTTGTTTTCTTTTGCCTGGTGATCTCTGAGCAAGTGAAGCTAAAGAGTCTGTTCACCTACACAAACAAAGTAGAATCTGTTAATGGTTAATAGTAACTGTCAACTTGACACAGATGAAGCAGGCCTCCGGGGACATCTGTGAGAGACTGTTTAGATTTAGAATTCCTCTTAGACTGTCAGTGAGGAGTTTTCTTTAGTTAAATAAGTTGGGAAAACACGTCTTAATTTTGGGCAGAATAATTTCTTGAGGAGGAGATCTTCCACTACAAAATGAGAGAGAAAGCTAAATACTAACATACACATACTAATTCATTGCAACCCACACTAGTCTTGGGCTATAATGTCACTCTCTGCTTCAAATTCTTACCACCTTGAATTCACTGCAATGATGAACAGTAAGTTGGAGATGGGAGCCAAATGAATCCTTGCTCTCTTAAGTTTTCTGGTCCAGAGCATTTTATCATAACACCCCAATGTCTTCCAGATAGCAAGCAGGAGCACTTCAATAAATATATACTTTGTGGAAGATGAAAGAGTATATCATACTGAGAAGGGAACAGTGTGGACTGTTTCTTCAGTCAGGGAGAACACATGTCCAGAGTCGATTCCGGATAAAAAGAAAATAATTAAATTTTCACTGTGTGCAGTTAGGAAACAGGGAGGGAAAAAGGATAAGTGCCCTCACTGACCACAGATAGATGAATAAGAACAGAATAGAGAGGCAAACCTTCAAGACCCAATCTTCTCTTCTCTAATCCTGGTATAAGAAGTGTTTGCTGACATTTTCAGTGAGTGTGATGGTTAATATTGGCTGTGAAATTGACACCTGAGAAGAGAAACCTCAGTTGAGTGATTTCCTGCTTCATGTTGGATCATGGGCAAGTCTTTGCAGCATTTTCTCCATTGCTAGTTATGGAGAGTGTGGCCTACTGTGGGCAATGCTACTCTAGGCAGGTGGGCCAGGACTGAATTTCAAAAAAAAAAAAGGGACTCAAAACAAGTATGGTGGTACATGTCTTTAACCCCAGCATTCAGTCACAGGGAAGTGGGTCTCTCTGAGTTCCAGGCCATCCAGGAGTATGTATGGAGATCCTCTCTATGAATAATAAAAAATTTCTACTTACTTTCAATTTAGTTAACTATTCTTACTTTTACCATCACTTGAGCCTATTGATGAAGGGGAAGTATACTCTGGAGGCAGACAGCCAAGTCTGACTCTGTCACTGAACAAGGCAGTCAGCTCTAAGGGTTTTATGGAGGCACTAGGCTGGGACAGATTGAGAAAGGTAAGCATTGCTGTTTAGGCAGACCAGGGTATTGGATTTACCCCCCATTTACCAGTAGGGGGAACTCTAGCAAATAGCATGTCCTCTCTTCTCTTCTGTCCTTGGTCCACAGCTGGGGTAAAGTCACCCTATGTACATGGGGGGTCACTTTCAGACTTGCTTCTTCCTTGTTGGTCACAGAATTTTGGGTACATTTTGACCTGTTGGAGATATCGGGGATGAGGAGGACAACGCAGTACTTACCAAGCACATACAGCACTGTGCCTCCCCCAGACTGAAGCTCCTTGTCAGAGTCTGCTCTATGGATCTTCACACAGTAGTAGGTACCAGAGTCAGCAGGTGTGGCATTACTGATGCGGATGGAAAAGTCCAGGTTGTTTCTCTTTGTAAGATCTGTAACATTTGTGACTCTGGGGAACTTCTCTCCTGTGAAACTATATATTAGGTGCCGACTCTGCCCTGTACCCCTGAACCACTGAATGGGTCCCACAGGGAACAGGGAGGTCACAGTGCAGTTCAGAGTGGCTGAGTCTCCAGCAAAGACAGAAACTGATTTCTCAGGCTGAATCACCTTCAGCTCCCATGTAGCTGCTCCTGCAGGAAACATCAGTCAGTGCTCATCCTGATGGGAGCCCACAGGCTTTTCAAGGTTGTGATCAAGCACAGTTTCTTACTGGAGCTCAGCATGATGTGATTATGGTCTCCTCACTTGGACCTCTTAACAAAAGAATGTAACGACAAGGAAACTGAGCCACAGAGACACTGAGAACTTGGCAGTATTTTGATTGAAGCCCTAATTCTTTTTGGAATTCTCATGTTTTATCCAGTATCTGTTTGGTTTTCATTTTCTGTGCAGATGACATATGGCACTTCTTAAATAATTGTATTGGATGTGATGACCTGACTCTTTTAGAACAGTGAGATGTGAACTTAGTGCTTTGTATAGTTAATAAGATGTACATTTTATTTCAAGTTTCTCTGGGTCAGGCCCCCAGTTCTCGATATGGTTTCTTTATCAGGTAGAGTGATAATGCCATAGATAGGTCCCAATATGCAATAACATGCACCTTAATTATAGAAATAAAACCTTGGCTTAAATTACCAGTTTTAAAAATATAATAATTACATTAATTAATTAATTATATGTGTGTGAGTATTTTGCTTCTGTGCATGCCTGGTGCCCAAGGAACCTAGAAGAGAGTGTCTGATCCCCTGGAACTGAAGTTACTGAAGACGGCTGTGAGTCACCATGTGGTTATTGGATTGAACCTATGTCCTATGGAAGAGTAGGAAGTGCTCTTAATCCCTGAACCGTCTCTCCAGCCCCAACATTATGCTGACTTTAAGGATGATGTAACAGATTGCTGTAAAGTTAGGGGTTGGACACAACACAAATGTTGTCTTTCATGCTTCGGTGGTCAGAAGTTTCATTTTAACTTGGAGTGACAAGGCAGTTACCTTGGTGTCACAGGACCCCACTCTCCATGAGGATCAGCTTTGTTTGTTGCACATGGTGTGGTCCCCCGAGGGCACTGTCCCTTGTCACCTGTCTGCCATCACAGCACCCTGTTTGCTCAGTGACTCTAAGACCCACGACTCCGACACTTCTGACCCATTTTTGCTGGACTTTGGTAATCTGGGAGGACTGCACTGTGCTGCACTGTACTACACTACTGGACCAAGACTGTGCAACATGCATTTGAGATATGCAATGAACAAATGGAAATTCACTAAAGGAAGTCAAGACTCTGAATAGGAAAATATGAAGATAGATGGAGAGAGACTGTAAGAAGGAATCTAATAGAATTGGGGAGTAGAGAACTACATAACTTATTAGTTCAATAGACAGGGTCCACAGAGGATTTAGGGGGTTACAAAATAAAAATCTAAGTAATGGAAATGGACAGAGTAACATTACTCAGCAATGCAGGGGCAAGGAGAGAATAAAGATAAGAAATTGAAGAATAGGAGTATAGAGACAAGATTATTGGAAAAAAATGTCTCACACCTTCTTGTTTTGATAAAATATAAGAACTATAATTTCCACACACTAAACTAAATCAACATGAGATGAGCTCAGAGAGGCCCACACCAGCACATACTAGAGTCCCACAGACAAAGAGAAGTAACAGAGATCGCTGAGAGCAGCCCAGAGCATGACTCATCTCTTTCAACATCAAAGTGATATGAACACAGTTTTTATCAGAAACGGAAGCTTTTGGGGGCAATGAAATAGTGTGTGTGTTCACAGTTCTTAAAGAAAAAAACACCCCCAGAATTTAAATAAAACCAAGCACTCCTCTCATGACAACACTTTGGGAACACTATAGGAGAGAAGACATGCTATTATTTTTTTCTTTTAATATTTTTATTTTATAATTAACTTAATTTCACATATCAGTCATGGATTCCCCCATCTTCTCTCCTGTCACCCACCAGCAATCTTCCCCAATCCAGCCCCCCCCAAACCCACCTCCTCCAAGGCAAGGTCTCTCCTGAGGAGTCAGCCCAGCCTGGAAGACTCTGCTGAGGCAGGTCCAGTCCCCTCCTCCCTATACTAAGGCTGAGCAAAGTGTCCCAGCATAGGCCCCAGGCTCCAAAAAAGCCAGCCCAGGCACCAAGGACAGGTCCTGGCTCTACTGCCTGTGGGCCTCCCAAACAGTTCAAGCTTATCAACTGTCTCACTTATCTAGAGGGCCTGGTCCAGTTTCTTGGGGGTGTCAGCCATTGGTTTACAGTTCATGTGTTTCCACTAGTTTGGCTATTTGTCCTTGTGCTTTTTCCAATCATGGTCTCAATATCTTTCACTCTTACAATCCCTCCTCTCTCTCATCAACTGGACTCCTGGAGCTCCACCTGGGTCCCTGCTGTGGATTTCTACATTTGCTTCCATCAGACACTGGATGAGAGTTCTATCATGACAACAAGGGTGTTTGGCCATCTAATCACCAGAGTAGGTCAGCTCAGGCACTCTCTTGACCATTGCCAGTAGTCTACAGTGGAGATATATTTGTATATTTCTGGGGACCTTTCTAGCACTCTGCTTCTTCCTATTCCCCAAGGGTCTTCATTCATCATGGTATCTCAATCCCCATTCTCCCACTCTACTCCTAATCCAGCTGGGACGTCCCCCTCCACTAAGGTCTCTTTCCCCTGACCCTTGCCCTCCATTACCCCCTGCCACTCCCCCCGCCACACACAGTTTGCTCAAGGAGATCTTATCCATTTCTCTGTCATTGGGCGATCCATGTGTCTTTCTTAGGGTCCTCTTTACTAAGTAGCCTCCCTGGAGTTGTGAGTTGCAGTCTGGTTATCCTTTGCTTTACATCTGGTACCCACTTATGAGTGAGTACATACCATGTTTGTCTTTCTGAGTCTGGGTTACCTCACTCAGGATAATTTTTTCTAGTTCCATCCATTTGCCTGTAAACCTAATGATGTCATTGTTTTTCTCTACTGAGTAGTACTCCATTGAAGACTTACTATTCTTAATTGAAAGTTTGAGTTCATTATAATGATACCTACCATGCAAGAAATACTAATGGCTTCCCTTGGGTTGAAATAAAGAATGACAAAGATAAGGCTCAGGTACAAAAGACAACACAAAGTGTGGTGGGATGGTCTGTATGTGCTCTTATTGGTCAATAAATAAAACACTGATTGGCCAGTAGCCAGGCAGGAAGTATAGGCAGGACTAACAGAAAGGAGAATTGAGAGAACAGGAAGGAGGGAGAAGACACTGCCAGCCGTCGCCATGACAAGCAGCATGTGAAGATGCCGGTAAGCCACAAGCCACATGGCAAGGTATATATTTATAGAAATGGATTAATTTTAGATATAAGAACAGTTAGCAAGAAGCCTGCCATGGCCATACAGTTTGTAAGCAATGTAAGTCTCTGTGTTTACTTGGTTGGGTCTGAGTGGCTGTGGGACTGGCAGGTGACAGAGATTTGTCCTGACTGTGGGCCAGGCAGAAAAACTCTAGCTACAACAAAGTTTGGCAATATAGTGAATTTTGAAATTTCATAAAGCATCCTGAGCTCTCAGCTTCCACTTAGCTGTTGGAAAATGGTGGCTCTAATCTTCCACTTCAGTGGTTCTCATTAATAGACTTAGGGAAGGGCACATATCAGGAGCTGCCGGGAAGGACAGCTTCCATAGATAACCTAATCCAAAAGCAAAAAGGAACCTTGAGAAGTTAAAACCTTGTGTAATAGCTAAGACCATATCTAGAAAACATGTGGATAGTCTTAGAATACTTCCTGATTAAAAAATGAATGGGGAAAAATAATGGGAATAAGTTACATTTATGTAAGCTTACAAAGTAATTTATATTTTCACATTGGTGTGTACACAAAATATGTAACTAATTTAGTCAATGTTACATAATTTTTTCCAACTGGAAATTCTAAATATACATATCAAATTTACAGACTAAAATTTTTGTAACAAAAAAATTAAAAGACCTAATCAGATTTTGTATTAATATATGTACAGAAGTTGAATAAATGGAGCAACTCTAACATTTTTTGAACTAGTTTAGTTCAGTTTTTAAAAGCAGAAAGTTAATTTCTAATTTTATTAAGCACTGGATCCTATAACATTGAGATGAGTACAAAACTCTATGTATAGAAACAGTACATATGGCTTGCTTTCCCAGTAGGCTTGCCTACTGGGACATATATGTGGTAGCCACTCCTCTGCAAAATTTCGTATTAGTATAGTTGTTCTAGCATAATGAATAATAAACTAAAATGATATATTTTAGTTTTATAATATTTTAACATTCATAAAATAGTTTGCTAAATTTAATTCTATAAAGACAAAATGGTAAATGTGGGATATTTGAAGGTCCTTGGTGCATGTCCAAGATCCACTCCATCTCTCAGAAAGAATTAAAGCAGTAGCCAGCTGCACTCTGAGGCAAAGTACTATGGGCAAGTGAAGGAAGTCATCAAGGGACAGGGTGGTGGCTAGCTCCTTGTGTTTCTGAGACCACAGAAAACTGAACTATAGCCTGACCACTGTGGAATCTGCTTTACAGAGTGGACTTGAGAATCTCATCTAACTGTGTGCATAGATGTGGGTTATCATAGCTAATGGAGGCATCCATTCCTTTCAGGATTTAGCTGTTTTAGAGAGACCAGCTGAAATCTGCACAGCAGCTTTGCTTGGAAGAAACTTCATCCATCTTCTCTGTTCTATCCCCCAGAAAGGCTAGAGTAGCTATGTACTATCTAAGCAACATAAGAGTTTCTGGCATTATACTGGTTGAGTTATGGAAGGTCAGACAGTCCATGATATCCTCATCTGTGAGTCCTACAGAAATCCCAGCACACTAGCACAGCGGTTGCAACCTCAATATTCAACTTATCTAGCAGAACAACAATAACAGCAACCCTTAAGGCTGTCAAGTGCCCCAATGATGCAAAAAAAAAATGTGTTTCCACAAAGAGGAGAATAGAGCATGCTATACTAGAATAAAAGTGAAGGATGTTGGGTCTCTTTTGTCAAAGGTTATGTGACCTTCAATCTGAGTTTTATGTTAATGGGAAGACTGGGAATTGGTGGACATGTGGTACCTGCCACCACTCTGCCCCAGGACCTATCTTAGTATGTTGCACTGCTAAAGC